GTTTGCTGCTCTATGAAATTTTGCTTTTCTGACTGGGGTGAGATGATATCTCATAGTTGTTTTGATTTGCATCTCTCTTAGAGCTAGGGATTTTGAACATTTTTTTCATGTGTTTGTTTGCCATCAGAATGTCTTTGCTGAAGTATCTGTTCATATCCTGTTTCCATCTTGGAATTGGGTTGTTTATCTTGGTGTGGCATAAATTCCTCCTCTTAAATGTCCAGGTTCTTGAATAATTTGCTCAGTATACAGATTGAATAGGGATGGAGAGAGGATACAATCCTGACACACTCCTTTTTTACTTTTAAACCATGTAGGAAACCATGTTTCCTAGCTGTATTCCCATAGCAGCCTCTTCATCTAGGTGTAGGTTTTGCATGAGTACAATTAAGTGTTCTGTGATTCCCATTATTCTCTGGTCAGCCATAATTTTTGGTGATCTACACAGTCAAATGCCTTTGTGTAGTCAATTAAACACAAATAAATACACTTCTTGTATTCTCTACTTTTAGCCAGGATCCATCTGATACCGGCAATGATATTCCTTGTGCCATGTCCTGTTCTAAATCCTGTGTGAAATTCTGTCAGTTCCCTATTAACCTGTCAGTTCCCAAGGCACTATTCTTGTCATTTTCAATGATCTTTAGCAATATTTTGCTTGCATATGATATTAATGATACTGTTGTATAGTTTCCACATTCTGTTGACCAGCCAGTAGGTTTGTTTCTTTGCAGTGGCCACACAGAACTGACAGATAGTACATATAATTATGGACTTTGTTAATGAGATAACAATTCAGGATGGAAACACCCAGGATACTATTCTTCAATCATGACAGTTTCTTCAAAGGAGTTTTCTGAGGTAGCTTTTCCTCAGACTGTTAGTTTCTTGACTGAGTTCTGGCACTTAGTTGGGTGGAGTTACAAAGTTCTTTTGGCTATGTCAATAAGGTGTATCAGCCCTCTGCCTGTCAGTCTAGGTCAGACCATTCTGTTCTAGCTCAGTTTCTTCTAGGTTTCTGCTTCTTGGCTGCATTTACAGGTCATGACCGTGTTGTTGCTGTTGTGGTCTAGGCTGTGTTATCTCAGTGTCTATCTGTTGCAGGAAGCTCTGGCACAAAGGCCATGCACTCTGCATCTTTTTTGATAGTTGGGAGATTCTTGGTTTTTTTGCCCCTGAACCTGCTCAGTTTAACCCTGACCGATGGCAAAACTGAGCAATCTCCTTGTTAATGGTTTACATACCTTATTTACATGTTCCCACCGAAAAAGGTGTTACTTACCTTATTTATATTATTAAAAAACAGTCCGAAATTGACCAAACATGCAATCAAGATGAATTAATACTTGTTATTAGAATGCAAAAGTTGGAAACAAGAGGAAGGAATACTAGTGGAAAAGTACAGTCTTAGTGATAGGAGCAAGCAAAAATACTGCATCATCCAAAAATGGCTAGAACATTACATAAATAGGGAACTTCCAGAAGTTCAAGCAGGATTTAGAAGAGGCTGTGGCAGGACGGATATCATTGCTCATAGATTGTGGCTGACTGTTAAGAATACCAGAAGAATGTCTGTTGATTCTTTATTGACGTAAAATCATTTGACTGTGTGGATCATAACAGAATATGGCTAACCTAGAGAAGAATGGGAATCCCAGAGCACTTAATTGTGCTCATGTAAAACCTATACCTAAACAATACTTTGTTGTTGTGTACCTTTGAATCAGATCGACCCATACCTGACCCTCCAGTGGATTTTCAGAGGCAGTTAACACAGGAGAGAAGATTGCCCATCCTTCTCCCATGGAACAGCTGATGGATTTGAACCACATCCCTTTTAAATTGCTGCACAGCTTTTTGCTACTAGGCTACCAGAGCTCCCTAAGAGAACACTACATGTGCGTCAGGGTTGTATTCTCTTTCCATACCTATTCAGTCTGTATGTTGTTCTTATGTCCCATCAAGTCTACTATGACTCATAATGACTTTGTGTACAGTAGTTTTGAAACTTGCCTTATCCTAAACCAGTCTTACTGATTCTGATATACCTACCCCTGTTGCCCTAGTTAGTATGTCAGTCCATCTAATCTGGTGTCTTCCTCTCCTGTGCTGTTCCTCCACCTTTCTAAGTATGGAGTCCTTCTCTAAGAACTGATCCCTCCTGGCCATGTGCCCAAAATATGTGAGATAGAGCTTCAAAGTCCTTGCTTCTAAGGAGCAGCTTCGTTTCACATTCTCCAGGATAGACCTATTGGTTCTCTTGGAAATCCATGGTATGTTCAATACTCTTCTTCAGCACCACAACTCAAAGGCGTTGATTCTTCTGTCATTGTTTGTTACTGTCCAGATTTCTGATGCATAACAAGTAATTATGAAGACCATGGTTTGAATCAGGCACACCTTAATCTCTTGAAAGACATTTTGGCTTTTAACACCCTGGCGAGGTTCCTGACAGCAGATTTTCTTAATTTCTCTTTTGATATCCAGACTGCAGGGAAAGAGTGTTGATTGTGCAAGCTGAAATTGTTAACTACCTTAATCTCTTCCCTATCTGTCATGGTGCTGCCAGTTGGCCCAGTGGTGAGATTCAATCTGTATGCTGAGTAAATTATTTGAAAAGCTAGACCCTATGAAAAAGAATGTGGCATCAAGATTGGAGGAAGAATTATTAATAACCTATATTATGCAGAGACACAACTTTGCTTGCTGAAAATGAGGACTTGAAGCACTTGTTGCAGAAGATGAAAGAATATAGCGTATAATACAGATTTCATCTCAGTGTCAAGAAAACAAAAATTCTTGCCTCTGGACTTATAGACAGCATTATGGTAGATGGAGAAAAGATTGAAGCTGTTAACAGCTTCATCTTACTTGGATATACAATCAACAAATGTGCAATTGAGTTGCTTGCTGCTCATAGCGACTCTATGTATAATATCTCTGAACCCTGCTCTATCTTGAGCCAACCTTATTGTTTCTCACACATCTACCCCCAGGTACCCCAGTCACTGAGTCAATCCATCTCATCGTGGGTCTTCCCATCTTGCACTGTCCCTCCATCCTCCCAAGTACAATGTCCCTGTCCAAAGACTGGTCCTTCCTTGCAACATGCTCAAAGTATGTCACATGGAGCTTCAGAATCCTTTCCTTTAAGGAGCTTCCTGGTTTCACCCTGTCTGGATCAACCTGTTTGTTTGTTCTCCTAGCAGTTCATGGTATATTTAATATTCTTCTTCAGCACCACAGTTAAAAGGCATCAATTCTCCTTCTATTATCCTTAGTCATTGTCTAGATTTCTGATGTATAGCACTGAATTGCAGAGACCATGGTTATTATCAGCAATATTTCCTTTTCCTAAAAAAAGACTTTAAAAACATATACTTTCAATTGTCATAACTTATTAAGGTCATTGTATTTCCATATCCAAAATAAAAATTTATTGAAAAGATGAATTTATCTTTAAAAATGTCAAATTGTCAGTGGTTATAGTGCGGGTAGTTTCTGATTTAGGATATATTTGAGTTATTAGGAGTCCAACTTTAACAAATGTCTATTTTCTTTGTAAATCTTATTGTCATTAGTGATAAACACTACAAAAATATTCTACTGTATGATTTGTTAATGTCATCTTCAAAAGTTCATTCATCGGTGTTGAGTGTTATGAGATAAATATACTGATAATAAATAGCAATAATGAAATTTTTAAAAAGAAGTATTCAACTTAAGTTGGAATTGACTTTTGATAATGTTGTTATAACATAACTAAATTGGAAGCTACCTATACTAGAATTAGACTATGCTTGATTCTATTTTTTATTTTTAAAAAAATGTATATTCCTGTTTATGAAATAGTGGATGAATCATGTTTTATAAAAGTTACCAATGGTTTAACTGATTTTATGAGTTTGTTTCAAGTTCCGCACATGAACCTTCCAAGTTTTTAGTTGTTGTGACTACCGTTTAGTCGGAATCAAAGCTGACTCTCCAGTTAGTTTTCAGAGGCAGTACATTACAGGGGAGGAGATTGCTCATCTTTCTCCTCCAGAGCAGCTGGTGCATTCGAATTGCCTACCTTTAGGTTGGCAGCACACTTGCTTTCCACTGTGCCACTGACTCAATGGCACGTAACAACGACAACAAGAAGCAGCCACTAGAGCACCCTCAAACTTTACCGTATATAATATTGTAATAAACTCTCTTTATAAGTTGCTACTAACTCTACAGCAAACAACAGTCTTTGCTAATGTTATTATGCTTATATTGAACTAGTGTTTTGATGTTAAACAAGTAGGTTGACATATTTAAAAAAAATCAAAGTCTTTAAAGATAACAGCTTGTAGAATTGAAAATAAGAGCAGTAAAAACACATGCATATTTCATTTTACTTTGATAAAATGAAAGTATTACCTGTTATTTTTATGACTGTAGACTCGGAAAATTTAAATATTACAATCATGAAAGGAGATGAAATGATAAAATGAATATTAAAGGTTTTTTTCATTCATAGTATTAATATTTGAAAGAAATTGTATATGCACCAGCCAAAATATTCCAAAAGAATAAGAGAGTATGCCGGAAAAGACACCCTGTTCCTTTCTCTGTAGACATAATCACTTTTGAAATCTCTAGAAACAATCTGTGCATACTCGAGAAGTTATGTTTTTTTTCCTCTTCTTCTTTTTGGAAAAGTGAAAAAAAAATTTAAAAGATTCATTTTAACCTCTTCTCTATCATTTGTTTTTTTACTTAATAGTTGATCTTAGAGCTTGTTCTGTTCCATTACATAAAGAAATACTAATTCTTTTGTACCTGCATATTGAGGACAGATTGATTAAACATAAAAAAATGTAGTATAAATATTTTGGCATACTTTGCTATTGTCACAGTGAATGAATGTGGTATTTTTGCATTTACTGAAATTATGAATTTTCCTTATTAGCTAGGTGATTTTTATTATATATTGGGAAAATGTTAAACCCATTTTTTTCCCCTTTCTTCAGATAATCAGACAGCTAAATGGAGTCTGAACAGCTGTTCCATAGAGACTACTATAGAAACAGCTACAACAGTATAACAAGTGCAAGTAGTGATGAGGAACTTTTAGATGGAGCAGGTGTTATTATGGACTTTCAAACTTCTGAAGATGACAATTTGTTAGATGGTGACACGGCAGTTGGTAAGTTCAGCATTACAATTCTTAATATTTTTAGTCATGGATCTTTAATAAATAATGTTGTTTTAATGAGGTTTTTCAGCCCTCACTTCTGGCAGGCTTTGTTATTTTTTAGTGAATGCTGGACTTAGTATATATAAAAATTTGAAACTCTGGAAGATGCCAGACAGATTTAATTTCTGGCAGATGTATAGATTTGGAAGTTACGTGGATGACACAACACTTCATGTTTGACTACTCTTTGGAGATTTTCAGTTCAAGTTTGTAGTTCTTCAGTTAGCGAACTTCACTATATAGTTCAGAAATGTAAGGACCCTATCTGTTAACATAATACCCTTCTACTTCAGTCTTACATGTGTGACGTATTTGGTGATTTTACCCATCTGGTGGCACATTTATTAAGATTATAGCCACAAAAACCCCGTAGGCCTCAGTTTGATAATACACAGGGTCACTATGAGTCAGAATCAGTTTGATGGTAGTGGGTTTTGTTTTGATTGTGTATGTGCATTTGGAGCAAATTAACTTAATTAGTCACATCAGGACTGAGAGAATTTGCTTCTGTGTTGCAGGCTTTATAGAGGTCTGTATTTTTAGACTACCTTTTTGGTAGTGGTCTTCTTGTTAAGTTCTGTTCAGTAGGAACCAATTTATAGCTGACTCTCCATTGGGTTTTCAGAAACTGTGAATCACAGGAGACTGCCTGTCTTCTCCTGTAGAGGAGCTCGAAGATTAGAACTGCCTGCCTTTGGGTTGGCTGCGTAACTCCTTACCCTCCTTACCCTTTGGCTAGCAGAGTTCTTTACCTCTTTGATAGACAATGGGATTGAGTTTTGGTCTTTTTCGGCACGTTGAGATTGCTCTTTAATTGGCTTTTTAACTTTCTGATTATACAGTTTGAAGATGTTGATGATGAGTATCATGAAGTCAGAACTAACTGCTGACCCTCCAGCAGGTTTTCAAAGGCTGTTAATCACACAGGAAAAGATTACCCATCCTTTTCTGTACAAAGACATCAAATGTTCATTCGTTGTCTATATTCATTATCTAACTTTCACATGTATATGAAGCAATTGAAGATACCAAGGCTAGGATTAGATGCACCTTAGTCTTTAAAGTGATACCTTTGAACTTTAGCACTTCTGAAAGATCCATGGCCGCACATTTACCTAATTCAGTACTGTAAGAGTAGCAAGAACTGTGTGAGAACAGCCTTATCTGACCGTTACCAACTTCCCAAAGGGGAACTGTCCCTGCCAATAGCATGAAATTCACAAAACCAATTCCCATGAGGTCAGATATACTCCCCCCCACGCTTTCATTCCTCTTTCTACTTATCTCAGCACCCGTGTTACCACTTTGCTGGGTTCAAAATCTGATGTGATAGCTCACAGACCACACAGACCCATATTGGGGATGTTAAAAGATTATAATCAAGGCTAAGAACAGAATTTAGTTAGGACACCTTCCTAAATGTGCTCACAAGCTCCTCAGCCTTGAGCCTGTGGATTAAGTCCAGCGTTACAAAGTTCTCAGTCCTGCCAGTATTGGCTCCCTCTCTCCCCAGTTGTCCAGCAAACTTGGGCAAAGGCTCTTATCTTAGCTTTGATTCAGTCTGTGGAGGATAGCAGTCCCAAAGTAGCTTTAGTCACATGTGACTCTCTGGTTCTCTGCTTTGGCCATGGCTGCTGCTGCTGTGAGTCTAGCTGGCACAAGAATGTCTGGTCTTGAAGAGCATCCACTGCCTGCCTGTTTTCTCCTCTGCTGATGGTGAGAAAGACTCTCTGTGCTGCTGCTGAATGCACTCATTTAATGGTGACTAGCCAGTCCCCTTGTGGATAGGCTAACATGCCCTATTCGCATATTCCCACCCATCCCATTCATTGGCCAAGTAAAATTAAGTGCCTAGGAAAGACATTTTGAATAATAAACTCCACAAATACTTTGATTTTTTTTTTTTTTTTTTTTGACTGCCTCTTCTAGGAGTTTTGATTGTGGATCCAAGTGAAAATTAATCCTTGACAATCTCAGTCTTTTCTCTTTCATCATGGTGTTATTTGTTGATCCAGGAGTGATAATTTGTTTTCTTTATGTTGAGATGTTATTTATATAGCATATTATAGACTTTGAGCTTCCTCAGTGTCATCTTTATTTTTCACATCTTCATATCTTCATATTTAACAAGTTAGATAAGTGTTAATATGTGTCATATGCACATTGCAGGCAGTTGGTGTGTCTTTCTCCTATCCTGATGGCACATTCTTCTTAATAAACTTCACCTTCTTGCTGAACATGTATTGAATAGATATGGTGAAAGGATATAGCTTGATGCACACCTTTGCTGATTTTAAACCATGTATGATATCCCCTTCTGTTCTACTTTTTAATTCAAGTATCTGTTCTACATATGTTAACTGTTCTGGGGTTTATTATGTGAAGTATGATCCATAATTTATTAATATCCACATAATAAAAGATCTTTGAATATTCAATAAAACACAGGCAAGCAGCTTTCTGTTACTCTCTGCTTTCAATTAAGATCTATCTGACATCAGCAATGATATCCTCATTATTACATGACCTATTCCGAATCCAGCTTGAATTTGTGACATTCGCCTGTTATGTACTCCTCCAGTCATCTTACCATTATCTTCACTGAAATTTTCAGACTTCAGCTCTGCACATTTCATTGTAATACTTTGTCTTTCCACACTGCCCTTTGAAATCTGTTCAGCTCCCTAATTTCTTGATTACTTCCCTTTGCTTGGCTTCTTAGTGCTCTAGTGCAATATTTAGTCTTGTCTGACATTCTTCTTGATCTTTTCTTCCTCTTCTGTCTTTGTAATGATGTTTTGCATTCTTCTTGGATGATATTCTTGATATCCTCCCACAGTTCATCTGGTCTTTGCTCATTAGTGTTCAAGGCTTCAAATCTGTTCCTGAGATGGTTTTGAAATTAAGGTGGGATAAAATCAAGGTCAAATATTGGTTCCTGTGGATTTATTTTAATTTTCGTTAGCTTCAGCTTGAACTTGCATATAAGTAGTTGGTGGTCCGTTCCACAAACAGCACCTGGTCTAGTTTTTACAACTGATACTGAGCCTCTCCAGCAATTCATTCCATAGATGTAATCTATCTGATTCCTATGCATACCATTAGGTGAAAACCATGTGTATATAGTCCGTGTTTGTGGTTGTTGTTGTTAGGTGCTGTTGAGTCTGTGTTTGTTTCTTATAAAAAGTACTTGCAGTGAATAAATCAAATGTACAAAATTCTATCATTGTATCTCCAATTTCATTTCTGTCACCAAGTCTTTGTTTTCCAACTACTGGTCCTTCTTTGTTCCCAACTTTTGCATTCCAGTCACCCATTATTATTACTGCATCTTTTTTTTTTTTTTTTAAATTTTGTGTACGTGTACTGTCAAATCAGATCTGACTGGTACAGGAGGATATTGCGCCTCCTTCTCCGGCAGAGCGTCTGGTGGATTTGAACCGTGTTCCTCTGGGATTGCAGTGCAGTTTCTTGCCACTAGGCCACCAGAGCTCCCCTATTACTGCATCTTGATTGCATGTTCGATCGATCTTGACTGCTAAAGTTGGTAGAAATAAAAAACAAAAGGGGGGAAAATATGGGAAGCCAATACTAAATATTTTTAATAAACTGAATGCTATTTAAATAAAAAAACAAAAAACAAAACAAAACAAGAAAAGTTGGTAGAAATCTTGTTTCCTCCCTTTTGGCTCTAGTTGTTGGCGCATATATTTGAATAATAGTGGTATTCACTGGATTTCCTTTTATGTATATGGATATTATCCTGACACTCACAACATTGTATTTCAAGATGGATCTAGAAATGACTTTTTAAATTATGAAAGGAACCCATTTTTCCTCACCTTTTAGTCTCCAGCGTTAATAGATCATATGAACATCTCATTCAAAGTGTCCCATGCCAGTCCATCTCATTTCACCAGTACCTAATGTCAATATTTATGTTTTCTCTTTCTTGAGTGTCCAGTTTTCCTACATTCATGCTTCTCATATTCCATGTTCCAATCACTAGTGTCTACTTACAACTGTTACTCATCCTTTGTGTTTCCATATTTGAAAGCTTAGCTTCAGTTGCCATATCTGCTAGTCTACTCTAAATGTGATCTATTGTACATGGTGCTTTCAAAGACCAGTTATTTTGGAAATGGATGATCAGTCCGTTTTCCTAATCAGTCTTAATGCCTATATTTAGAACAGTATCTGACAGACATGCATTTTATAGAAAGGAGCAGATGAAAGACAGTTCCCAATTATAGAAGCAACTAATCGATTCAGCAGTGCTCCAGCACTTGGCAAGTGTGTCTTCATCCATCCCTTTCCCCTCTCCAGCAGCATTCCCTTCCACGCCCTACCTCATTCAACACCTCCCTCCTTCTGTGTGTATTTTCTCAAAAATAATGGAACATTTATCTATAGGTCTTAAGCTTTTAGAGACATTACTGAAACTTCATTTAATGTCTATAATTCTACAGTAATCTCTCCAAATGACCCGACCTTTTACTGTAAAGTGTTTCAGATCTCTTCCAACTTCCACCTATTATCCATTTCCAAAACGATATCCACATTTTTAGGTATTTGTTAGAGCAGCACTGCAGTTTCTGGTACCAAAATCTCTGTAACAAAGTATCACAAAACTGGTGACTGTAAAGAACAGAAATAAAATGTCTCATAGTTCTGGAGGTTGGGTCTTTGAAGTTGGGATGTCAGTCAGGTTGATTTTTTTCAGAGAACTTTTGAGGAAGAATCTGTTCCTTGCCTTTCCTAGCTTCTGATAATGCCTGCCAGTCATTACTGTTTCTTGGTTTATGGATCACTCCAGACTTTTTCTTCTGTTTGGTTAACTTTTTTCAGTTTCTCTGAACTTTTTCCTCTTTTATAAGCATACCACTTAACACTGAGTTCAGACCCACTCTGATCCATCTTGATTACATACTAACTCGACAGATACCATT